GCTTTGTGGCCCTCGTCGCTCGCGGCCTCAAATCGCAAGGAGAACAACACAGACTACTCTCTACGAAGGTAAGACTTCATTTCTTTGATTATTTCACACAACTTTACATTTACGGAGCTCAAAAGCAAGTCCAACTATACAAACTCTTTAATTATTCACTGTGAAAGAGCCTGTGACAAAGCTTGGGACACCTGTGCTCTGTGTTACACATTAAGGTCACGAGAGTATAGAAAATGATCATCATCTGAGGAAGTTCTTGATTGTAAAACTAACTCGCATTGTCGTACTTAAGGAGATGTATGGTGGCCGAGAACTGCCATTAAAAATATTCAAATTTATAGGAATTGTTTTTGCTATTTTTTTTAATTTCGATTTATTGCTCATTTTTCTTTTTAAAATAAAAGCAAGTGAAAGAAAGTAAAATTTAAAATAGAAATAAAATGAAACCAAAGATAAATTAAATCAAATCGAAATTAAATACTACCCGGCCGAGCGCTGCCACTAGAGTTTTTTTTTTTTTTTTTTTTTTTTCGCGTTGGGAAAAAAAAAATTTGTTCGTGGCCGAACGCTGCCACATGGCCCAGAGGGCTGCCAAACAAACCCCGAATTCTTTGCAGGATAACTTTCAAGATTCTAGTATGGTGGATGCCACGTGGAAAAAGTTTAAAGAGAACTGACTGGGAAAAGAGGGAAGAAGCGTGATGCAGGAGATACAACGCATAAATTAATTAAAGAAAAGGAGCTGAATAATAATAACTGTCGCATTCAATGAAGAAAAAGAGCTGTTTGTTCACGGTGGGTTTCGCAATGCATACAAAGCAACCACAAAACACCCACAGTACAAGGAGACTACCTGGGTCATTAAAAGATACCTTCCTGATGCTGTGAAGGGAATAAATGACATTGGGCAAACTGTCCAACAACACACCCAAAAGGCGGTTCAGATGCATCTTCTTGCAAGGAATTTTGCTCACCAGTTGGAACAAAAAATCATTGAAAAACATGCTATTGATGCATTCGGGAGAGGTCCTAAGGTATAGAAAGATCTACTACGGTGAAGATGATAAAGGAGAATTTGTGATTGTGGAGGAGTTTATTGATAGACAGTTTACCAAGTACTTAAACAATACTGGTGATTGTTGCGTCGAGGAAACAGATGTTATGAGTCAGAAGGCTCAATGTCTAACCCATTTTTCTTATGAAAAGTCAGACAAAAAACTCATGCTACTAGACATACAAGGACATGGGTATGAATTATTCGACCCAGAAATTGCTTCTCATAAACTTTTTGATGGTAGTGCATTCTGGGTTTGATGTATGTAGAACGGTATGGAGAACATGCATATTCTTGGCCTAATTGAGCTTAGCAGTCAAGGGTAACTACCGCATTGCGCTAATACATATATCTTATTAGAAGTTTTGTTGTATAGTATCGCTGAGTATTTTTACGAGTTGTGCCGTATTTTGACTGGCCCGTAGGGCGAGTCAAAATACAAACAACGAGTAAAAATACTTAATTCTTATTAACCGAGCGGGAGGTCTGTATGGGAGAATCTTGACCGAGGTCGCCAGTACAGACCGAACGCAGTGAGGTCTGTACCAGCGACCGAGGTCAAGATTCTCCCATACAGACCGACCTAGCTCGGTCAATAAGATGTTTATTATATGGCTGTGTCTTATGTGCCAATTTTTTATATTCTTTGTACCTTTTTTTCTAGACCGGTCTAGATGCCGATCTAGATAGGAAAATCTAGACCGCTTTCAATATTGATTTCAGCCAATCAAATTCGGGTTTTACGGCTTTCCGTGCTACCTAAGTGTAAGGAAAGACCGCAGATTGCCACATGTTGCTCAGAATGAGACACAGCCATATAATAAATCAGGCATACTACACAACAAAACGTCTAATAAAAGATTTATTATCCAACACACCAACCAAATTGTCATTTCAATGCAGGCGAATTTCGCGGATATTTCTGGGGTACAAATATCGCGGGATATTTGTACTTGTCTCGCGTGTTATTTGTACTCTACGAAGCACAGTTCAATAAATGCTGCTGACGCGCTGTTCTAATGACAGAGCGAGAAAATAACACGCGCGATTTGAGAACGTGCAAAAAGACGAGGGTCGCACGTGTCGCAGACACTTACGACCCACGCCTTCGGCTCCAGCTCCAAAGCCATGAGAAGGTTCAACGATGGATGTACCTCTTCTAACGTACATCAATCATAGGTGGCTCTCCTGCAGGCTTAGGAATGGGCAAGTCAAGCCTCCTTACAGCTTTGGCTCTGAAAAGTAATTCTTGCACACCTAAGGGCTTTCGAGTGTTTTCTTGCTTTTTCAGCTAAACGGCGATCATCCATGAATTTGAAATAGACGTATAGATCTCCGTGACTCAATTAAGTTATTAAGTTAAGTTTCAAATTACATGAAAAACCGCTAGCTAGCATCCTAAATGCCTTGCGATTCTGCACATTTTGGACCCTTGCAGTCCTCGGTTCTAGTTTGGACGCTTTGTGGCCCTCGTCGCTCGCCAACCCGTGCTTTTTATCGTTGAGAAACGTTCCTATTTCTTGTACCAAAAATAAACATAACATATAATTTCGGTTCACCATCCTAGTGTTTGCATTTGGATTTTGGATATCTAGGCCCTAAATTTGTAATGATAATTTATTTGAATTTCAAGTTTGCACTAATAGACTAGCAAAGGTGAAATAAAATATTATGCAATCAATTTAATTTAATCGTAAAACATATCCTTCGTTGTGTAAGAGCACACATGCTGAGTTAAGGAAACTCAATTTCCCGACCGAAAGGATAATACTCCAGTTCGACGTGAACTATGACATTAATTGCTTAATGGTCAGCACGTTCATTTACATCTCCCTTGAAAGATTATCTGATTGAGTCGGATAAAGACGATTAAATATAGTTCTTAATTAGTGTAAATGCACATTTGTTTGTTCCAAGATAATTTAAGCATAAAAATTTTTTCTAATCAATGTACTCCGTTAAAAGAAACGTAAACTGTGATGGTTGCAATTGCTTCTAAGAACTCATTATGAGATGTGAACGAGGAAGGCATTTTTATTTTTATTGTGGTAAAGTGGAAGATTTTACTCATAGCAACTGCAGCCTTGGTAAGAATTGAAAATTCAAAGAAATCATACGCCATTGTGTTTGTAAGTACATTGTGCTTTGTCCGACATATGCAAATGTGCAAATGTTTTAGATGTCTTTTCGGCCTCAAGCGTGGAATCACTGTTGCTATGAAAGTAGTCGATTGTGCCACCTGCGAGCAACGTTTACTCTTAAAAGGAATTCCATTCCAGACAAGCCGCATATCTCGAACTCGCTGCTTTCGTTCAAACCGGCTGTTTTTTTCATCGAGGTGTGAAAGCGACGTAGCGAAAGTTGAAATTTGGTCCAAACCTTCACCTAGCAATCAACTTCCGCCCGTTAAAGGATGACGTCGAGACGCTGTCACACTTAAAGTACAATTCTACCTAAATTTCACACCGAGTGAGCATTGACTTCTCGCATGCTTTCTCGTGTACCATGCCGAAACACAACGAAGAAAATGCCACCTATTTGCAAAAGTTCACCGTTGCGGTGTTTGGAGACTCTGGAGTCGGTAAAACATCTGTTATCAGTCGACTTGTCGGAACAGCGTTCAATGTCGAACATCTACCCACTGTTGAAGATTTCCACGTCAAGCATTTAGCTTACAAGAACAAAACTTGTGAACTTCAGATCATAGATACCTCAGGAACGTATGAATTCCCGGCCATGAGACGTGTGGATATGGAAAAGGCGGACTCCGTTGTTTTAGTGTATTCTATGGACAGACCAGAATCGTTTACAAAGATCGAACGCTACATGGACGAAATCCATGAGGCTAACAACGCCGCGCAAAGTGACAAACCCGTCGTAGTGATTTCAAACAAATCGGACCTCTCCCACTTGTCGCAGCCACAGTTTGTGGACCAACGAGGTTTAAATATTAGCGTAGGGATGTATTTAGCAGGAAAATATGGTTGCCATTGGTTCGATTGTTCAGCCAAGCTGAACGAAAACGTAGAGGACATATTCCACAAGATTTTGGAATACTTGTTTAACAACGGGAATAATAAGAACAAGAATGGTCGTGCACGACCTCCTATTAGAAAAATCAGTTCACTTATTCAGCAAAAAATCAAAATATCTCGATGATACAATTATTAGTTCAATTATTAGTTCTCCACAAAATTAAGCATCAATGCTTCCCTATTTTCTTTGAACTCATAGCGGTCTATTTAGAAATGTACAAAATTGTTTCAACGCGACGTATGTTAATCTGTTGTTCGGTACAAGAAGTTGTACTCGGCTTTTAAAAAGATTTGGATGGTTTTAAAATAATAGAATTTATTCTGTTTGTTTTTCACAGCATAGCTAGTATTATTTGCAGAGGTTTCAAACTGAGATATTTAATCAGTGACTCGCACTGAGAACGTGATTAAACGCCCCAAAATGTATTTTTTATCTGTTGGAAAGAAGCAGGTGCTCACAGTTTACTTCTATAAAATTTATGTACGGCACGTATAGAAATCCTAGAAAATGTTTATAATTAACATTTAAATAACTCAAGATCAATTGATCTTGAGTTATTTAAATATTATAAATACAACAGAAGCTGAATATTAAATGCCAGTGTAAATAACAGTCACTCGTTTTCCCGTTGCATCCGAATAAGCCGGAGTTCAAAAAAGGAAAATGTTTCTTATCTAAATTAATGTCTCCTTCAATTTCGATTCGTGACACTTGAAGATGAATTAAATGTTTTGACTCTCGACCAAGACCGTTATTTGTTTGCGTGTCATTTAGTTGAAACTAACAGCAGAGCAACATATGCATTGAATTTTGATAAAAGTTGATTTCCATATCAAAATCAGCATTATTTAGCTAAGGTTTAGAGAAAACTGTTAAAACATCCATTGGTTGAAAAAGACACAGAGAAAATCACATAAGAGTCACGCTCTATTAATCAATCATTTTATTTCTACTTAGTCTGAGCTTAATTCTGTGGTCAAAAAATATGTTTTATTGGTGAAAACTGAGGTCAAGATGGCTGGATATTGGCCGACTTCATTTTTCTTTTGTCGTTTTATAAATGGACCGAGACGAAGTTGATGTCCTTAAAAACGCAAAAACAAGAACCAGTAGCCAATCAGAGTAGAGCATTTGCTTCATGTTGTCTGCAAGAGCTGCCGGCTATATAATAATGGGAAATATTTCAAAAGAATGGTTTTAAGAAGCGGTTCAAGCTGTCGGAAACTCATCTATAACAACTTTTCAAGAAGCTCTTTACTCCAAGGCGTGGTTGGTAATAAATTAAAGGGAGGACTTCAGAAAACTTTTCACCGTCAATAGAGGGAATAATAAGAGTACTGCGGGACCTACAGAGCCCTATGGGGGAATCAGAGAAATTTTTATTGTGACACAACCACACCATCCCTTCCGTTCCCTCCCCCCTCCCTCAAAACTTGCGTATATGTGAACGTTTTAATTGCTAACAGAGGTGTGCTTTCAGGAAATAAAAACGACATTACGAAATGAATGAATTTGCCTTTAGGAGATGCAAACAACCCTATAAGTCAGCCAGCCATATCTCTTTTTCATAAAGTTCAAAACAAAATGTTAATTCAAAGGGATACCCCTCATTTAACAAGCTTTGTGTTCGAAAAGTCGCGAGTTTTCCTTTTCCTTACTTTTGCTTCTTTTTAAAAATTTTTATGAATTCATTTGTACATATTTTGCCTGGTAGCGGTATTTTGCGCGGGAAATTGATACGTGACTGCCCAAAATTGAATCACTTGTTTTGTTCAGGATTCCCTCTCAGAAAGTATGCTGATGCTAGGCCCGCGGGCTCACCAACCGTTGTCTGAGTTAAGGCTACACTTGCAAACTGCCGTGAGAACTGATGTTGGAGAATCAAGCCGTGAAGAACCTTTTAAATCTAGTAAGTGCACCTCTTCTAATGTCCAGGAATGAGTTTGTGTACGTCTCATACACATCTATATTCCAAGTAACCTTTCAACACATTGGTACCTAATTATCGGTCCAAAGTGCCTTCGGTTGTGAACTAGAAATTGTAGCACGGGATCCATATAAGAGCAAATCGGCCTCTAAGGCACATGATATACTCAGAGTAGGCAGTTTTCGCAATCTTAGCACTCCAAATATTTTATATATAGGCTTGTATTGTGTGATTACGTCAACTTCTGTTAATGCGGATTAAAAGATAAACTTCACTCGGTATTGTGCAAATGGTGAAACAAACGAAATGCGCAAATTTCGTTTATGGTTTTCGCGGCAAGGAAGTGATCGAGGATATAAGGAATGGACCTCTTTTTCATTAGCGGTAGCTATGTTCATAAACATGAAAAATCATTCATGTTTGTAAAGTAAGCTGAATTATACAGGAATTTTTATTGACCTCACCATTAAGAACATGTTTAATGCGTTTAACCATGTATATCTTTAGGGATATATCGCTGACAGTGTACAATATTTTAATGAAATAAATGTATTGGATTGTTAGGTATGGATCCTGTAGTTAATGTTGTAAATATAAACGCAATTTACATAAAAAAAAAGCAAACAATTACTTGTAGACTGCAAAAGCTGCCGTCTTCATTTGAAGCTTGTTTTTGTGCCTAAGTGATGTGCCACTTCTGAAGTTGCCGTAATCATTGATTGTTTTTTTCCAGAACTCGCGAAACTTTCTTGCTTTCTCGTTTCCCACTGTGCTGAAATGATGCAGTCATACCATTTCATTACTTCAACATTACAGCAGCCTACAAGTATTTTCGTTGTTCCTAGCAGCTTTCTCAGCTCTCATGTAAGCGGTCCTCATTTGTCGCAGTATTGCCGATTCGCCTTGCACCTTTGTCGTTTTTTTCAGATAACACTTCCATATCTTTCGCAGTGTTCCACATTGTCTGCTTGAGAGCAAAAATCTCATCCAAAACAACCATCAACATTTCTTCTTCAACTTCTTCTTGTGATTTAAAAACAGGGTCTCCTTTTTGCAACTTGGGTTCGAAAGATATTTTGTTTTCAGCTTTTGGAAGCTGTAAACTATGGTTATCTGGGGACATTTCGGGTTTACACCTATGAGCAATGCCAGATGGATCATCACAATCTTCCTTGTTTAGAGGCAACTCTATCTCAGGAATGTCAATAAGAGAGTTGTCTTTACCAAACGAACCCTTGCTAAGGGCTCGAGAACCTTTTTGAAACAAAATTCTGCGTAAATTTTGTGAACATCTTCTGTCTTGTGGATCGTAACACTCAGTATGACGAGAGATCGTCAATTTATAGCCTTTTTCGCAGTTCCTCGCACAGGTCTTCGAAAGAAAACTGTCTAGGAAGGACGCGAAGGGAACTGCATTCTTCTGTGTTCAGAGGTCCTCCATCAAGCTGCACATTATCGAAAAAACTCACCAAATCTCTCACAGAACCATGTCTCTTCTTGCTATCTTCTATTTCAAATGAGATAAGACCAACTTTAACTTTCTGAATAAGCAGCTTACTGTCAATAGAAGAAAGCAAGTTCTGATGAGAAACATGTTGTAACTTCGAATCTAGACTCAACCCGCGGTTGCGTCTTTGATTATCTGCAGCACGTCCTGGTAGGCTTATGGTCTCTTTCGTTGCTGTTAGCTGCACAATCAGCGAGAACGCCCGCCTTCTCTCCACAGATTGGCTCATATTCAAAGCTAAAAACTTGAAATGAGATATTGAGACTATCTCAGTAGGAAGAACCCCTTGAAATCACAAGGATCAAAGATGTCCAAGTAATTGCTTAGCGCTAATTTGACGGGAAATCAGCTTTCAGTGGCTATAAAGTTTGCGGTAATTGCTTAAGTAGTCATTTACAAATAATTTCAGGTTTTACATCGATTGCGTTAATTGCTTTACGGCAGCGGGGGGGGGGCCTACTAAAACTTTCTCAGTTTCATCTAGTCCTTAGCAGAGTGAGAGAGGACCGACCAAAATGCCTCCAAGGCACGACATAAATTTCTGATTGAAAGCTCAAAATCGTTTTCCTTTTTGGACTGAGAGACTAGGAGCCGTTTATTTACACGAAGTTCGATCAAAACCCCGGTTTTACACAAGCATTTAGCCTTGCATATTCTCTCTTGGAGGGTTTTTTAATTAAATAAAAGTCTTTCCAGCGCTAACTTTCGGCCCTATTTACTTTGCTTACAAAATTAAATGTTTAGATAAAAGATTCAGCTAGATTCAAAATAGTTTGAAATGCGGTTTTGTTAAACAAGGGCAAAACTTTGATTAAAAACCGGCCCCAGTTCTGTTATATTCTCTCTTAGGGTTAGTTGCTAGACTTCCCTTTAAAATTGTTTTCCCTGCCTCTCCTCCCCTCTGCTGAATTAAACCCACCCCACCTCCCCCGTCCAACGAAAATTAAAGACTGGTACCAACAAGAAATGACGACGTTCTGTCTGCTGGATTTTTTTGTTTTATGATCAGAGTATAATCCTATTAACTAAAACAAAGTACTCTTTTGAAAAGGTTCATTAAAAGACATAATTTTTTCAAACACAAAAACGTATTGTTCTTTAATTTTCAGTTTCTAATTGACAACTGTAATGTCACTTTAGGAACGTAATAAAACAAGAGAAGCTACGAAGATAAATTGGAAAATTACACAATCGTTTCGTATCCAAAAAATATAAATTATCCTTCCGTACTTCGACTACAGGGAGAGTCATTCCGAAAACCTTGGTTTGGTCTTCCAAAAAAATCAAATTGTCCTTCTCGACATGGTAAGTCATTTGAAAACATTGTTAATAACTGATATGGTCCTGCCAAAAACCTACATGCTTTTAAATATCAAACTTTGCTGACAAACCAGGTGGTAAGTAATGGTAATTTGTCACCATCCTCTTTAATCGTGAATAAAAACTACTCGTCCTCATTTTGGAGTAAAAAAAACTGCCGTTTCAAGCCCTTCTTTCCCGCAATAATGAGCTTTTCGCCAGGCTATTTGATTATTCATTGAGCCCGCCTAATTTGTGACGCATAATCATAACAGTTGACTTAGAGCATAGAACTCCTCCGGACATCTGTTATTTTCAGTAGCTCATGCACTAACTGATTCCATGAACTACGCCGTAAACATATTCTGTTAAAACGGTTAATTTCCCTTGGATTTTTCCAGCTTTCTTTGCTGTTAAAGTTAATGATTTATCACCAACTGGCTTAGTCTACACCGATTTGAGAAGTTTACAGTTTTAATTAAGCTATAAAGCTCACAAAAGGAGTTTTCTCTAAACCTCCACGGGTGTCCATCGCGGGCTTTCAGAAACGGCCATTGTTTATTTTGTTGTCAATTGTTGCTTTTACTGATACAATGGTGTGCCTGCCACCTTGAGAAATGCACATCCTTCCCATTCTAACGGACGCCGTACAGTGAAAAACAAAATGACGTCGGAAACAACCTGCCTGTCCGCCATGCCATGTGGCAGCGGTTATACTGCACTCACTCATACTTCAGATCCACTTAGTAAGCAATTAGACGTAAAATTCAGTTCCGTCTGGATACTGTTCGGCCGGCTCTTCCCTCTTGGGTCTTCGCTTTTTATCCATGAAGAAGTCTCGAAGATCTTCTAATAACGCGCTTTGCTTCTTTAAAGACGAAGTTATTTCCCTCAACCTAGCAAAACATATAACAAGCGCAAAGGTGACTTCATGACTTCGGCTGCATGCAACCGCTTTTTTTTGGCAGAATTTTACACATTGTCTGTCTTAACATCAGTTTTCTTCGATGTGTAAGAGTTTTCGTAAGCCAACTTACTGTTCATCATGTCGTTCAATCGTCTCTCTGAGATCTTCCGCAATTTCTTGTTTCTCATCGTTCTCTTGACGAGGAGACAAAAGTTTTACGAGCATGTCCACAATCTGAAAATCCAGGAGGAAAACAAGAGAAATGACCATTAACCGTTTACGTCCCAACATCAGTGTGCATGTTCTCTGCACTTTTACCTGCACCTTCGCTGTGGTATTAAACTGGAAATTTTGTAAAGACAACCAAGAACTTCTTTCTTTAGTGATCATTTCCTTCATTCGGATGGCCTTAATTTTTGAATGAGAAGTGATACCGTAATCAGAAATGAGATGCTTTTCACTCTTAAGGATAAAAGGTTTTGGATGAACATGAACTATCTTGTCTCTACTGAAAGAATTCTAGCTTTTAATAATGATCTTGCCCGGCCTCTACCGAAAGGTGAACAGAATAGGCACTAATGCAGTCAAACCTTGGTTTTGAAGTTCTTTGGTTTGTTTGGATATTCTACATACTCGGTGACCTGGACACTGTTAAGGATGAAGGTTGGTATGGCGCGCTCTAATTGAGAAAGGTGCTCCACCTAAATATCAGTATAGAAAGAAAATCGTTAAAAGTGTAGATTCAAACGTGCGAGACTTTTCACTCACGTGCGTTGCACTTGATTTAAAATTGAACTCGTTGATCTTTCTGTGACTCCTTTTTTTCGTTTTCATTCTGTTTGTCAATTTTCTTAGATCTAGTGTAATTATAATTGTATTTTTTTTTTTCTGTTAGTCCAACCATCATCATCATCTTCAACGTAATCGGACGCGTTTTATTCACTCACTTTAATGTGAACCTGGAATAAATTTTCTCTTTTTAAAGATCATCTCTTGATTGAAGTCTACAAAAAGCATTCACCTGCGCTGTCAGTCAAAGGTTGTGAATAGTACATGTAAGCCATAGAATATCCCGAGAGTCACTTGTATTTTAACTTAAGCAATTTCAGTAGGAATTCAATCACGGGAATACGATTGGCTGGATTGTCTATGGCATGATATGAAATACCGACTGGATCTTCACAAAAATAAAAACAAATCCTCTGAATCTGACAAACCTGACTCGTGTATCTTTCCAGAGCAGCAGTCTTTCGAATGGTGTCTATATCTCCAACAGCCAAACCGATCTGAAATCAGATATGAAAATGTATTTTAGATGACACGATTTATTGTTTTATCTGAGTCATTTGTTCATGGCTTGTTTCATCGCAGAATTATAGATATGCCACAGAGTTCAAAACCAAGACCTGCTGCTTGCAATTGTTAATCGGACTTAGTCATACTCGCACATTACAATACTTCTTTGACCACTCACTAGTAAGTTAAGGAATATTATCGGCATCATGAAGCAGTATGCAATGTACAAGACGTAGAGTACTAGGCCATTGCCTACGCTGCCAGAAGTGCTGTTGTAATTCAAAAGAATGTTGTCATACTGCAAATTATCTAACATCATGAAGAAAGTAGCAGCGAATGAGGAAGAAATGTTGTGGAAGCGACGATTTCCTGGATTATCCTTAAAAGGAAGAATAAAGAAAAGTAAGCATTTTAAAATAGTAACTCATTTTCGGCGAAGTCCGTCGCGCGAGTAAAAAAAATCAGTGAAAAAAAAAATTGATGTTAAGGTGCCGCGGAGAGCTCTTGGAGGGAGGCGCTCGAAAAATTCCTTTTCAACCGCTCAAATCAACTTCATTGGGTGTGGGCTATTTGAAGCATTTAAAGACACTCCATTGCATCTATGAAATATTTGGTGAATGCCGGATGTCTCAGGGTCTTCTTAATTTGTTTTTGTTTCTTTGGTGAATGAAGTTATGGCAACATTTCTTGATTTATAAAATAGCTATTTTAAGCACGGTCTCATTCCCCAGGGGGGCACCCTAGCACTGTTTACATTTAATTTTAAGACAGATTGAATATTCTTCTTTACTGTTCACTTTATTGACTTACATCCCCGCCTCTTGGAACCACGACATACAGAGAAAATGCAAACGCAGCGAGAAGAATAAGAAGGATGACCATGACCTACAAGAGAAACACGTAAATATTTTAGTAAGCAAGGAAATGACATGATATGCCTGATTAACTGAGTGAGTGGACTGGACGGAAAAATGAATTTGGCCCGAGGTTATGAGGTACCCATCGAGAACCAAATATTTTCACATCTGGTCCAACCCAACTCAATCAATAACCATTTTAGCACATCGCCGCTCTTTCTCATTCTTTCAAACACCAAATTCCAATTCGACCTGGAAAGAGTGGACCGAGAAAAGTCACCTCGTGGAAACTCCTCTCCTAAATATTACTATTGTTATTATAATTTTTATTATTATCATCATAATCATCATCATTATCATCATCATCATCATCGTCATCATCATCATCATCATCCTCGTCATCATCATCATCATCATTGTCATCATCATCATCATCATCATCGTCATCATCATCATCGTCATCATCATCATCGTCATCATCATCATCGTCATCATCATCACCATCGTCATCATCATCATCATCATCGTCATCATCATCATTGTCATTATTATTATTATTACTCACTTTGGAAACTGTTTTGATTGTCTTCGTGATCATCACGATATACAACCCAACGTAATTGAATCTGAAATAGAGGTGTACAGACCGGTCAGGTAAGATACAAAACAACGGGAGCCATCTTGCAAATATAACCTGCTGTTCATGTGAAGAAATAACAAACACAAAATCTCGTAATTAGGAAAAGAAATGTAATTTTCTGAAACAAAGAAATTTTCTTTCTTTAGCGACGCGTGTTTCACTTTCTGCAAATTTAGTTTGAAATAGAATTTCTGAAGGAAGTTGAGATTACATTGGTTTTAATTAACTGCTTTCTCTGGATAGTCCAGAAAATTCCAGAGATATGCAAAACTAAAACCAGTTAAGTCCTAGAAATTCCCCTTTTTTTTTAGTTATGAAACTGGGGACATGAATGAAAGCTTTGATCTGATTGGGTGATTTCATTACATTTAGTTTTTCGATACTAACTCGAAAAGCGCGGTGAGTGTTATATTTTTTCAGAAGGTTTACTTTATTCAAGAAATTCTAAAAACATCTTACTTGCTAATATACTGAAGTAAAACAATCCACACTAGAAAAACACAGATTCCCATCTCAGAAATATCCCCGGAACGCGGTCTGACAAGCGTAACCAACGTTAGAACGTACAGCGTCACCTCAAGCCAGTTGTTAAGCGTAAACAAATATTTTACACCCTTATGAGGAAAAAACCCAAAGATTGTTACAATTGCGCATTAAGTTGTTTTAACTTTACATTATGCCCAAATCTACGTACGATGGTCAAAAACGCTTTGTTGTGTTGGGGCTTTTATTCGAAGCCTACAACTGATGAAATCTATCAATTAGGGATCAATGCAATTCATCACTGACAGTTTCTTTTCACTACTAAAAGCGGGAGAGGGGTACATTGACCATGGTCATTATTAAACGCCTGTGAGGGTGGAGAGTGGAGAAATTTTGGGGATCACATGATTTTCAGGGGGAAAAGAGGGGGGAATTAGCGGCGCCAACAAAGTATAAAGGGAGAACTATAGAAAATGAATGCCAATTAACCACCTTGGGGGAGGGGGAGGGGGAATCAGGTAAAATTTTATCGTGACAAAGTGCTCCAACCCCCCCCTCCTCCCTCGCGGCGATAGATAATGACCAGTCTCTAATGCGGGAAATTTGAGGTCGTTGTCAACTTGTTAGCACTAAACGAAAGTGATTTAATCTGGTGTCGTCGATAATTTCAAAGTAGGCGAAATTCTTGGTAGCTATGTAATGTACTGTCGCAGTAATAAACCACATGCGAGAAGGTTGAGAATATGTACCTCTGCAAATACCTACCAACAGAGAAATTATTATTCTCAGAAAAAAAAAAAAAACTTACCTCATCAAACATCTGAAAAAGTTCTTTAGCCAAATTGTATCCACACGCTATAATGAGGAACACTGACACACTGGCATGAATCCAGCTGTCTTCAAAACACAGCGCTATCAATGGGTCGTTTCCCTGTTTACAACATGAATGATGTAGAGATGACATTAATTACAATTTTAAATCACCCCCGACTAAAATATGTTCCTGTTTGACTTTACCTTTTAACTAATTAACAAATGGTAAACACCACAGCGTACTCTATTGAGTTGTGGATGCACGCAGGAGATTGCTAAGCACGAAAGAAACGTAAGAGTCGCTCGAGGCTATCGCCTCGAGCGACTCTAGCTTCTTGAGTGCTTAGCAAACCTCCCGAGTGCATCCATAACTCAATAGTGTACGCTGTGGTGTTTACCATTTGTTTTATAACATAACATTGATACATTGTAGCTAAAGAGTTCCCTTTTATTTAACAAATCTTACGCGACCAGAAAAATCAAGCGCGCGCGGAGAAATAGTCTTTGCATTTGCTCAAGTCAGCAGCGTACACCCATGGGCAAATGGGGGACGCTAAATTGACCAATCAGAGCGCGCGCTTTACTTTGGTTATGTTATAATTTGATTTCAAATGAAAGAAAAAAAAAAAGAGACGGCTAAGGCTATCTGAATTCTTCCGAGCATCAAACGTAATGACCAAGACCTAGCGATGCCCATGATATATGAAAGCCCCTGTTGGTCAGTTTGTCGACCCTCTAAAACTATGCTTGAAAGTTGGGCTCAGTTACAAGATTTTTGCACAAGGTCAACTGTAAAGAGAGCTCTGCTAGCAGTCCTCATAAGTCTAGCTTAATGCACTGCATCGCCTGTTAAGTCTATCCCAACCACATAAACGAGATAAAGCTCGGATACTACCTCATTTGGCAAATGAAGGTTTCGCCCAATTCTAAGTGCACCCCCAACCACCTTTGTGACTTCGCCTCTTGTGTAAGCCGAGTTCATCCCCCACCTTTGCAGATTCCAACAATCGTTTAAAATTGTATAACAGTTAAATACACTTTCCAAATTATATGAATCTAAAATAACCAGCCAGGGTAATGTTTTTGCTCAAAGTTTCCTAACAGCTGATCATTAACTTCAAAATAATTACCAGTGCATCTTTTACATCAACTTGTTTTTTCATCATTATCATCAACAGCAATACAAACAAAATGTAAACAATCTGGTTCAGTAATGCGCAGACCAATCCAAATTTTCGCCTGGGGAGTGAAAATACAATAAGTTTTTTATTCTATCGCGTTTCATTAACTGTGGAGCAGATACAGGGAAACTTGGTTAAAAAGATCCACTTGAATTGTTGAAAAAGCACAAAAAAAGTATGCTATTAAAGTACTTTATTACACGACTCGGGCAGTCAGAGGGCTAATAACTAAAATCAACCAATCAAAATACTCTATTACCGGTCAATATTCTCTCAGTATTGGACCGGGCACTGTCCCGAATGGTCCCGAATGATACGGCACTTGTGTCCCTTTGAACTTCAGTCGTATAATAAATCTCTTATCAACAAAGCTTGCTCGGGACCGTAATGGAAGAATTTCGGCCCTCGGTCTTTTTTGTACGGATCTCGCTGCGCTCGGTCCGCACTGTCAAGACCTCGGGCCGATATTCTCCCAGTACGGCCCTCGCGCTTGGTTAATGAGATATATGAACTGTGGTGACAATGTAAGGTAGTTTACAATACTGAGCAATACAGACAGAGATTGAATACACAAATTCATTCAATTCTTAACTAATAAATTATTACCATTTGATGTCCATAAGTACTGAACAAAGAGTATGCGTAAGACACTGGAGTCGTTGATATTTTACCATCGTCTAAGGAAGAAAAAATGAAATTCAACTCGAAGTTGAGTTGTCTCGAAGTTATTAGAGAGAAAAACCCAATGCAAGGAAGTACTTCCTTGTCCTGACAATTCTGAGTTTTTTTTAAATCTTTGCAGAGCTCTGTAAATATTCAAACAAAAGCACCTATCCTATTTTTCATCTTAAAGACAGAGTAGAATTTCCCGAAAGCTATTTTTCACTCGGTGGATAATAAGTCTGTATCCAGACAAGATGATAAGTGATGACACTTACATGGAGAGCACTTAGAGATTCTTTGGCGTTCTTTTCTTTTCGTTTTTCGTCTGGCATTCCTTGAATAAACCGAAGATCGTACGAGACCTAAACAAAGAAAGTTTACATCAGCTATTGAATAAAAGTAATTTTCAAATTTTGTATTGAAAACAAGCATTTTATGTAACATTACAGTGCAGAAAGATCATTGAGAACGGGGCAAAATATCGAAAGGATCTTTTGAAATCAAAATTCAAGTCACAGAAAATGAAAGCGGGAAACCACGAGTGAACAAATCGCCGTTAGCTTCAGTTTTCCATCCATCTGATAGGTCGAGAGTTGAAGGTCGGCGCGAGTTTTTTATAGACCAATCTCTAAATGAAGTCTGAGAGCGAAATCAAAGCAATCCCGGATGACTTTCGACAATCGATTGAAAACTTGCCTCAATCAAAAAAATAATTTTATTATTTCTAGAGCTTTTAAAGACTGAAATGATGATGAATAACGAAAAACCCGGATTTACCTTGTAATTTTCGTCCTCTGGATCACCTTCCTCCACAATACAGCGATCGAGAAATTTCTGCACAGAAATACCAATAAATCACGTCTCGTGCTATGAAATCAAAGTAATTGTACAGAAAAGCCACATATGATGGTGTTTATACCATAATAGAATTGAGTACCTTAGCCACTTCAGGCATGTGTTGAACTAGAAGCTGTATCTGAGTATGTGATCCGTGTGTTGTACTTCTAAGAACTTCTTTCCACCTAAAAAAAAATACGTGGCAAACGTCCAGCTTAAATAAGTTCCTCCACACAGCCAAGACCAATCATGCCTCTCGAAGAAAGGAAAGCTGAAGGAATTGAGTCCAGCACAAGAAAAAAATTCATTTGGTTCAGTTTTATTTGAGTTCATATTTTTTCAGCAAGACTTAAAGTAAAGGGAGCTTCACATTCATATGTCCGGTGTAGATTCCCAACTCGCCTCCAAACATATCACACATGTCATTTTCAGTAATGCTCATTTAGATTGATCCAAAAAAAACTTTTTCCAGCACGTTATGGTAATTCAGGTGTGCCAACTTTTTTTTTCATTTTTTGTAGGTTTTGTAAACAGAGCATGAAAATGCAAGATACGGGTAAATAAAAGGGTAGTCTTTGCTGTCAATTCAGTTCGAGTCATCACTCTGTCATTGGAATCCTTCCCTAAGACTCCTTTACAAACTTTACCTTCTATGTTCAACAATTCCCATAGCGACGGCTTCTTGCTTTGCTTCAATGGCAATATCCAAGATATTCTGGTTTCTCTCATTTACTGACACAAGTTGTTCCGATTTGGAAAGCAGGTATTTCAGGATTTCTGCGTGGCCACCTTTGGCTGCCATGTGGAGCGCTGTGTTCTGGACAAAAAAAAAATCATTTGCTTTAGCTTATACACCTAATCTAAGCGATAGAACCCTAATATGCATTGAAGTGAAAGTAATGAAGTATCGCGTTATCCATAGCCATCCCTCCTCCAGCTACATACGCTATCCAAAAGTTCACCTAGGGAAACATACCTGGTTTTTGTCGGTAACATTTAGACTCTCTGGCTTACTCGCCAAGATGAGTTCAGCTGATCTTTTCGATCCTTGCAGCGCCGCATAATGTAAGGGTGTTTGACCATGTACGTCACTGAAAAACAAATGGTCATTGTAAAAGAGAGGTCTAACGTTTTAATGGGTCAAAGTAGTTGTAATTACAATTTAGCCAAGTGAACGTCATGAAAAGAAGATGTTATTTCAATTGATTGGGACCATAATTTTGAAGCCATTCCCTCATAGAAAAAAAATGGTGACACAACAAGTGTTTCGACAACTTAACTTTGTGTCACCAAGATAGCGGCCTAATGCATGCTCCGTTCTTTTACCTGTCTATTTTTGCCCCTCTTTTGAGGAAGAACTCAACCAATTCGTCATGGCCCTGTTGTGCAGCCAGATGGAGTGGCGTTCTCTCATAAACATCATTACCATTAACCGTCCTCTTTCCACGTCCTTCCATCAGCTTCTTAGCAACGGATGTGCAGCCGTACCTACATGTATAACAAAGAGGTACAAATGAAGGTCTAGTTAAGACGTTCATAAAAAGCTTTAAAAATGCTAGGATCGAGGAAAATTTACCTATCACTAAGCGTCTTACACAATTCGTCTAGGATGTCTTAGACGCAATTGAGATTTGCTGTTTGTTTCGCCTTTGCCTTTATATTTATGAGTTTCCGTTATCCACGAGAACAAGAACTGTTTTGTTTGTGGTGTGGTTGCACAACACAAACAAAACAGTGGCTGAGTGAAATCGAACTCACAGTTGGTCTTCCCAAAAATTTCTGGATACTTTAGGGAAAATTTACAAGTTTCTGAGAGTTTTAGAAAATATTGAGGTCTTCAGAGAGGTTAGTCTGGGAGTATCATCAAAGTGATTAATGCTTTTTTGTTTGCTCTCTCTTTCCTTCAAACAAAATTTTATTCTAAACCACAAAACAGTCCAATCAAAAGATATTCCAGAGACAAAGAGGCTTTTCAGGATATTAAGTAAAGCTTTTATGATATTTAGGATTAATGTATACCAAACAGGTGAAGAATGCTTTTCGCTAGCACTAATTGGTTAGCTCGCAAGTAATTAGCAACTGGGTACTATTAACCTCCGAAGAGACAAAATCCCCGTTAAAAGCTTCATTTCCACCCATTTTTCGGCATATTTATAAAAACAAACAAATTTTTGGTTCCTTATTCTGTGAATCTCTATGAATTTTTTTCTTTAATTTCCTTTGGATATCAAAACGATTTCATGTGTTTATCGTGAAAAGGTTTAATCATAAACATTCTGCTATATTTAAGGGTAATAATGTATTGGGATAAATAACTTGGTAATTTTCTGGTTCATTGTTTTGTGATCTAGTTAATTATGGCAAATCTTAGGGATTAATTCGATAGGTATTGTAACTTTTGGAGCGTAGGTTGGTTCTATATATATGATTTGCATCTTTCAAAGACCTTTCTAATTGAAATGAGAATTACAACCCCTTGCATGGATTTAAACAATTTTAAAACCTGATCCAAACCCCAAACCATACCTTTTTTCTCTTCTAACGGAAACAACCAGTTTATTAGGTAAATAAATGATTTAGATCTGAATGACCAAGCAAGCCTAATGGTCTCCTTCAACAACATAAAAACTCGCGTATCTCTAGTTTCGATAAACCAATTGATTTATTCAATTCTTTAATAACTGTGTTGAGGTGTCTATACGTGGACGTAAAAATGCGGCTCGCAGAACTTTCCAAGTATGTAGCTTGCAGAGCTTTTTAAGTATGCCTTTTAAAGAGTTTCTTCAAAAACCTGAGAAGTTTATCCGACCTGTGGAAAATAATCCATGGGTTTACTCTGGAATTTAAAACTGCAAAAGTTCTGGCAAAAGGAGAAACTATTTTAACAACATTGTTAATAATATCAGCAGCGAACAAAATATTTATCATTGTCTATGGTACATAACTCACTACCACAGCTCCAATCACTAGGAACACAGTTTTTGCGCTCTTAAAATCTTGCTCAATGAGTCCTTGAGTTACAGCTTGTAACTGACATGTAATATGTCTTTTGTGGCGTTAAGATATGCAGAAAATCCTTGCATAACAGAAAATTATGATGAATACAACAGATGATAGAAAGGTGATCGTTAGGACTTTGGAGATACTTATTAATGACAGGTCAAGGCGCGCTAAGGGCAGTACGGCACTTATCGCCCAGTTGATGATTATAGCCTGGTAACTCTTGCTTCTGTAGCGATGGTCTGATATCGTAAAGATTCCACAATGCAGATATATCGGTCCACTGTGATAATGGTTAGGTTAAGGCAGGACGAGTGAAGCAAAAAGGTGCCGAGATAAAGAAGAACGATTGGAGGGATCGGCACGATGGCCGGATGCACATCCTTCTGTTGAGAGAGCACACAGCCCATGCAGTGGCTGAGCCAACAGTCCAATTGCAATCAGTAGATCTGAGGCACCAAAGGATATCACTTCCAGAAGTAAATTGGATGGGACTTGGCGAAGCTGCGGAAATCTTAAGATGACTACGAGTAACAGGATGCTTCCAGAAATACTCGTGACAAGCAGAACTTAAGTAAAAACTGCTCCAAAGTAGGCGAGAGAAACGCTATACTCGCGGACGTTTTGCCAGCTGGGGCCTTTGTAAAAATAGGTTGTTGCCAGCATGTCGTTGATCAGCAACGCGTTTTCCATGTTACTGCCTTGACGATGGAACAACCTGCACAACGACCTTCCACCTTCTGTGATCGGTTTAACAAATGTTTATCTTCCTTGAAAGAAATGCGTAATAACTGTTGCACATATGTGGTTTTCCCACTGGAACAACATCTTTGTAAGAACGAGACAAAGAACTACGCTGCAAAATTAAAAAATGGCGGCACGGTTCTTACAAAAGGTTACATGCCATACACAAAAAGAAAATCAGTACTTAAAAAATACATCTCAACAGTTAAGGATGTACTTTTATTTAAAATTATGTGGAGGATATTACATGGCTACGTGCGGACACGAATTTCATCTTCGAGGTTTGATTAAGATCAACGAATCTCCTCCTTTTTAGTGAACTTTTAAGTGGCTTTTTTTTCTTTAAATTCCGTAATAAGTAAATTAAACTTCTATTCAAACGCGATTCGCGATTCTCACTTCAATGGTTTTTTCCGTGTTCACAAACACAATATTTGTCTTGAATGTGACCTGCGCACGAATTGTCTGATTCAGCGTTATTCGTTAATGTTCTCGTCAAGCGCGGATTTTTTTCTGGCAGTTATCTTCGAGTCTCACGGGATTTCTGAAATCTTCAGTCTTTATTTTTTGCACAGCGAGCCAAGCATGCTTGAAAACGATAAAAGCTTCTTCGTTCTTAAGAACAGCCTGTTCTGTTTGCACCAATAATTCAGACCAGGATTATGTTTCGTAAGAAATGATACGTTTTAACCAATCAAAACGCTCGTGGTCTCTCAGTAAATAAGTTACAATTGACCAACTCGGTAGACAAATGAAAATTTTTTACTGTGATTCTAGAAGTAACATAAAGAAAACTTGAAGAAGCGTCAACTTTAAAACCTTCGCGAGTAACAACTTAAAACAGCACAGGTACATAATAAGTAAAGTCGTTCATTGGGCTCATTTGTGAACGATGTTATCAGGATGGAAAGATAAATTCATATCCAACTGCGAACTTGTAACGTTCTGTTTATCCTACAGACATCAATAAAATTTATGTTCTAAAAAGTATCTGAGATAGTACGAACGACCTGATTGGTCAAAACATATGTTTATTATTCATAGAGAGTTGAAGTTTATTTTATAGAAGTGATAGACCACACTCTCTCTTGGTTTACCGTCGTAATAACCCACTTGGGATTTCGAGAGAACACGAGAAAAGTTTGTTAATCCCTCGAAAAACTTTTCTTGCTCGTTTTTCCTAGTGAATTCGGAAAATGTAATAATATGGACGAGAAATGTAATAAAGCATTCATTGCAAAAGAAAGGTTATAACTTTTGAACACAAAATGTGATAACATTTCTAACGCATAATGAAATAATGCAGAATGTAATACTATATCTAATGCATAACGTACTGACACAAACTGTGAAACAAGGTGGTAAGTAAACTCAAAGTGCTAGATTAGAAGTCTATAGCAAATTTTTTTAATGGTCTACTAGTGAGCAGGACTACACAATATAACATGAAAAAACTTTGGTGAAGTTTCTGTCCGTTTCAGCAATAGCAAACTTCATCAGGGAGTTTTAACCAATAGAGCAAATAAGCTTGCCGACTGATATACCATTCTTAAATTATATGCCTGTTTTAGCATAGTATGATGCAAGCGTTAAATAATTCGCAAGGAGTTCTTTGACAAAAATGATGAACATGCGCGACATTTTTGGACGTGATACGTAGGTGTCTTAGTAGGTGATGTGTTCGGGGTCCACGGATTCAGTGTTCAATCTATTTCAGAGCTCCAGTTCGCAGAGCGGCTGCTAATTGGTTAAGTTTGAAAAATCAGTTGAGTCAGATTAACTCGCTACGACTCTGCTTACGATAGAAAAGCTAAAATCCTGAGAACCTCTTATTCGATTCAAGTTCAGTATCTGCGATGGGACAAACAAATCATGGGTGCTTTATTACATTTTGCGGCGATATTATCACATTTGCACAGTGTTATAGTTTGCATCGATATTATTACATTTTGCGGCGATTGTTAGAACACTGTGCGTCAGTATTACATTTTGCGTCAGTATTATACTTTGCGTCAGTATTACATTTCGCGTTATTATTAAATTTTGGGTCAGTATTATACTTTGCGTCGGTATTACATTTTGCGTTATTATTAAATTTTGCGTCAGTATTACATTTTGTGTCACTATTACAATTTGCGTCCAGTATTACATTTTGCACCGCAATACTGAACCTGCATCATTCGTATCCATTAATTAACAAATACAATTATAGAAATTTTATTTACTTAATGGATATGTAAATCGATCCACGCCCCAGATCTAGACTTTTTTCCGACTCGAGACAATCGAAGATGATTGTCTTTAGAAATCAGCATCAAAATCCTTACGCAAACTCGCTGATTTCTTTTTTAGGACAGAAAAGGGGTTGCTATTGGCTGACGTGAATCAATTATAATAAAGGTCTTTATAATAATAATAAAGGTCTTTTTTAAGAATTATTGTGCAAATACACGTGCAACAATTAACACGAATAGAATGAATAAGGAAAAAGAAAAGGTATTAATTACTACTGAAAAGACATCTATAAATAAAAACTGATTTAAAACGGCTTGTCTGAACCTTAGGCAAAATATAATTATGCGACCTAGTTCTCAATTGCCGTGTTCTCTGGGGAGGTAAGAGATCGCTCAACGCAGTGTTGGTGGAAGAGATCCTTTGCCATAATTTCTTATCTCTATTGCAACGGATATCCAAGATACTGTGTTGCTTTAAGCAGTAACCCAGCTTATAACACCTGGCAAAGAGCTTATCAATTCTACTTAAATATTTACTATAAAAAGCACACCCCCAGACCTCAATAGCATATGTAAAAACTGAAAGAATCAAACTTTGAGAAAGTAAGTCCAAATTCTCAATAGGGTAGCCATAATATTTACATATTCACAAAATATACAACCTACTGCTAGCCTTACTAAATAGATAATCAATATGACCAGTTAACTGGCACTTGCTCGAAGGTAACACCCCATAGTTTCAGTTTTTCTTTCCTCGCTATGATCTCGAGTGGTTCAGGAGGCGTCTTGGAAGTCTTTCCTCGTAAAAGAAGTTCCCATGTTTTCGTCAAGTTGACTTTCATGCAGTTCTTTTCGGACCATTCAATAAGGATAGGACTTCCGTTTCGGATTCATCTAAGCCTATATTTGCCTCGATTGGTAAACTAATAGTTATATCATCAGCAAATCTAACTAGAAGATTCTTATTAGTATTAACAGCTTTGATATCATTAATAAAAATAGAAAATAAGACCGGCCCCAGGACTGTACCTTGAACAACACCCCTATTTATAGAAACATGTTCAGTACTATGACCATCGACAACAACTCTCTGCTTCTATGATTTAAAAAACTAATTAGTATTAACAGCTTTGATATCATTAATAAAAATAGAAAATAAGACCGGCCCCAGGACTGTACCTTGAAGAACACCCCTATTTATAGAAACATGTTCAGTACTATGACCATCGACAACAACTCTCTGCTTCTATGATTTAAAAAACTAATAAGCCAATTAATATATGGATTAATGTTAACTTGCTTTAAACCTGGAACCGGCATACAGCTGTTTCGAGGAAGGAAGATCGCAAAAGGTACTGTGGTTAATTTTCGGGTCACAGTTCCTTTACATCAGGATTTCAGGGAAATCTGAGGAAACATCAATGAAACATCGCGGGTTTGATGAATTGACTACCAGAATGCATTGATAACTAGATTATTATCCGAGATTGTCGCATGCACTTTATACACAATTCCGACAGCCTTCCTCGAAACACCTGTATATGAGAACGTATATGTGATTGTATATCGCTAAGCTTTTTAGGAGTCACGTTTAAACAATCTTTTCAGAAACCTGCGAAGTTTTTTCGACCTGAAAAATATTATCCATGGATTTACACTAGAATTAAGAAGAAAAAAAGCTGTAGCAAAAGGATGACCCAGTTTAACATAATCGCTAGTAATGCCAGCAGTTAATAAAAGCTTTATCACAATCAATGGCACATAACTCACTAACACAGCTCCGATCACAAGGAACACAGTTTTTGCGCTTTTGAAGTCTTGTTTTATTGGTCCGTGAGTTAAAGGTTGTTGCTGACATCTAATTTGTCTCTTGTGGCATCGAGATATGCAGAAAATCCTTGCATTACAGAAAATGTTGATAAACAAAACAAAGGATACAAAGATGATCTGGAGGACAAGTGTGACCGCCATGAACGAAGGAAATAAATGCGTTACGGGCAATATAGCAGTTATCAACCAGCTGATAAAAATGAAAAAGTAAACTTTGCTTTCTGTAACGATGGTCTGATAGCGTAAGGATTCCACGATGCAGATGTATCGGTCCACGGTGATCATAGCCAAGTTCAAGGCGGACGAGTAAAACAAAAACGCTCCGAAATAGAGAAGAACGATTGGAGGGATCGGCACGATGGATGCACAATTTTCTGTTGAGAGGGCACACAGGCCATGCAGCGGCTGAGCCAACAGTCCAATCAGTAAATCTGAGGCACCAAGGGATATCAGAAGTAGATTGGATGGGACACGACGAAGCTGTGGAAATGCTATGATGACCACAACCAACAGGATACTCCCTACAATACTCAGGAAAGACAATACGAAAGACAAAACTGCTCCAAAGACGGCGAACGAAACGCTGTACTCGCGGACGGTTTGCCAACTGGTGCCATAAGTGGAAGAGTTTAAAGATGATACGCTCGAATCTGGATAAGAGCTTGCCATATTAGAAAATTGAAGATGGATAAAAAATATATATACATAGTTCGCTTACATCCTTATGGCCGCTCTTTGTGTTTACTTCACCTTAAGAAATCCATTTGCATGTTCTTACCCTGAAATACGACGATAAGAATATATTTTTCATTTGAACGGATGTTCCCAAAACAAAAGACTGTACAGCTGGACTTAAAAAGATTTAGCATTGTGTTTAAACTCTGTGAAATTAATTTCATTCAAATCACAGAATTTCCACCAAAAATCGGCTTTTCAAAGTTGTTGGGAGCATCAGATGTTGATTAGAAATTTCAAGCGATTTCAAAATCATATATTTTAGTACACCTTTTGCTTACTCCTATATGCTAAAGAAATCGATTTTGGCCTTTTCCTGTATTTTTTTTTCCTTTTTCTGTGATAACGTTACTGCAATATCAAGTGTAATCATAACCATTACAATTTCCTCAAATGTGATTGGTGCATTTGCTGCTTTATTTCTCATATCTTATCCCTTAGAGTTTTAATCGTAAAGAATCAATCGGACAATTAAAGCATCCAAGTCCACTCAGCTAAATTTGCCAAACACAGAACTGATCACAGTAGCCATAGCAATAACCACTTACTTTACAATTAGGATTTATAATAAAAAGCTCTGACGTCCTTTTATTCAAGAATGTTTCAAAGGCTGGTTGTCATTAGCGAGTTTAGACAGGAAAGTGCCCGGATTAGTTACGTAATCATCCTCCAAGGTTTCTTTATGTTTTCATGAAAGCAGCTTAATTAACATCCGAACTCATTGACGTAACAATTTTCCACAGACGTCCTGGTGAATAATGCCATATTCTTACGCTGAATTGACATTTAAATTTTTTTAAAAAAATGTTGATTTTGGAGTTTAGAAAGCCCTGTCTAACACCATCAAATGTAGAGGTTACAAGACTGGAAAGATACCCCGACTTACGACAAATAATTAACAAATGGTAAACACCACAGCGTACACTATTGAGTTATGGATGCCCGCGGGAGGTTGCTAAGCACGAAAGAAGCGTAAGAGTCGCTCGAGGCGATAGCCGAGAGCGACTCTAGCTTCCTGAGTGCTNTTACGTGACCAGAAAAAACAAGCGCGCGCGGAAAAATAGTCTTTGCATTTGCTCACGTCAGCAGCGTACACCCATGGGCAAATGGGGGACGCTAAATTGACCAATCAGAGCGCGCGCTTTACTTTGGTTATGTTATAAATAAAAACAGTTCTCATTACAGAATTGGTTACTCTAAAACAAAAGTTGCAATCAACCTTGGGAGTGTTTATAATTAAGTGAAATATTGATCTTCGTAGTTTTTCCATGTTGACAAACACACTTACCATGACGACGATGTAATCTTCGTTTATGAGGATGTAATGGTACTTTCACTGGGTAATGGGGTAATGGTACTTTCACTAGGATAAAACGTCCTCGAAACAGGTGAAATTCGAATTAAATCTGATTGGTTGACAAAGTGGCGCGCGTTTTCTGGACCATATCAAGTAACGCAAAACCAATTGAATCCAAAAGCAATCTCGGGTTACTTTTCACGCTCAATTGCAAATTGTGCATGCTCCAACGAGTTGAGCAAAATAAGCTTTACAGTGCTATGCTACCTTGCAGCAATATGTAACGGCGTCTCCCCTGAGCCATTTGTGATGGTAGCTCCCGCTCGGTACTTCATCAAAATGATTGATGCGTCCTGCATTTAAAAAAGAACAGGTATAAAATTTCTGTGTTCTGCTTGGTCACGTTACCTCTCTCTCTGCAAAGTGTTGCGTGACGATCCACTCGCATCACAATTGGATCTGTTCTGTAGCATTGCAACTACATTGCAAGTGTGGCATTAAATGTATGCCACTACAACACCTTTTTATCTCTACAAAATTGTTGGTCCAAAATGGGAAATAAAACCACGCTTATCAAAAGGGGTAACTGTAGCTTCTAAAATGTCTTACTAAAAGTTTTATGTAAAGTAGACGAAATAAAAAAATCTGTTCCGATCTTCCATTCCAGGCCTGCGGACATCTATTCACGAACGATATAGCTAAAAAATGCCAGAAAAATGACACACGCAGTTTGTTTAACAAATGGTGACAACTGCATCTCTCGTTTAGAAGCTTACAACGAAGGTCCCCTATACTTTTTATGTGAGGCGTGATGGGGCGATTTTTTTCTCGTGAATCGTGATTTGACTTTTTTTTTATTCATGAATCGTGATTGAAGATAATTAGACCTTTTCATGTCCACGTGAAATAATTTTTGTATTTAAACGTGACCCGTGAATCAATAGCTGAATTAATGATGAATTTCCCCCTATTTTATGGTTTTGGAAATGTACTTATTATTCTCGAACGGCTGTGGTTAGGTTTTGACCTGGGTTTTTGACAGGAGATGGACTTGATATGGAACGATAAAAGTCACACGACAGACCACTAATAATTCTTAAAAACACAAAATAACACATTACGTCATCTTTTGTCGCGTCAAGACTAGAAAAAGTAAAATATTAATTCAATGTGATTGTCTCGAAGTTCGCGTGACGTGCAAGAGTTTTGAATATCATTCGTGACGCGTGAAAAGGCCAAATAATTTTACATGGCTGAGTTTTGAAAAGGGGTATGGGGGACCCTCCACAACCACTAAAGTTCTTTTCGATTGCATGTCTTTGAGAGAACATAAGCTTCTCTCTTAGTGTCGTAAACTGCAGCCAAAGCTATAGTAACAGCAAATCAGAGCAGAGGTTAACATAACAAGGAGCAAATCAGGACTTATGGTAAATACGTCCAGCTCAAAGGCGGAAAAATGCTGGGGAACGAGTCGCAACTTGGGCAAATTCAGCATCTGATTGGTTGAGGGAGATGGCGCGATCACATAGCCCAATGAAGCAAAATCGATGCTTAGGCCCCGTCCACAAAGAAACCACAGTAAACATTTCAAATACACCGCAAAAAAGGATAAATCTGTTTCCAACCGCACAACTGCTGCCAAAACGGTTTATGAAAACAGGAAGTGATTTCCGTCTTTTCGAAAATAGCCGTTTTCAGTGGACAATTGATCCGGATTAAAGGGATGATAGGCTTGGCCCGTAGCATTGGATGGCCGGGACTTCAGTTGAAAAAATACTCTGATTACAAAAAACCTCAGCAAAACGACCCACAATTATTCTTACCTTCACACATCCTTTACAAGCTGCGTAATGAAGAGGGGTGTTTCCAAGACGGTCCTTGGCTCGGATGAGGGCACTCGCCTTCACATCCTGGTGAAGAAAATATCTGGTTTTGCATACTTATCTAAAGCGTATATCAAGGGTATTATGGCGGAAAAATTGCCCGCCCTAACATACTTCCCTCAGTTCTATTTTTAATGATGAAGCTTATGGTGAGATTTTTAAACGTGGCCATGAGCCTTAAGGGGAAAAAAGGAATTATTGTAAATAGTGATGATTGGAATAAAAGCATCTTTCAGCAAATTTTTTCTTGAGAACTTCTATCTCCTGACATTTACTGGAAAACCAAGATGTTAATTAAAATGTTGGAACAAAAAGTGCCTACTTTCAGGATTTCCTTGACAATATCAGAACTTTCAATAGCGTAGTGTAAAACTGTTTTATTCTCGGAGTCTCTGACGTCCACATTAGCTCCGTGTTCAAGAAGAACTTTAGCGGTCTCAAAACAGTTACACTGTGCAGCTAACATCACAGGCGTGCGGCCTTCATAGTCTGTTGCATTGATTTGATCCACATCCTATACAATAAACAAAAGATTATTACATGCTGAAGACACGAGTTAGTGTTACAAGATTGCGATTGTCCCTCTCCGCCTCCCCGCCTCCCCGCCTCC